TCTTTTTCTTTTTTTTTAAGCTATCGGGTCTGGGTCCTGAAATGAGCAGTCAATTACTGCCTTAAGCACCACATCCTGGGTAGTATAGCCCACTTTTTTGTTTTGAATTGCTACAAAGTATGTATGCTCGCCAGAGAGAGACAGGCAGACAGAGAGAAAGTACCCCTCCACCCCTTCTCCATTTCTTCACTCCATCAAGATTCTAGACATGCACACACATGCACCCAGTGTGGGGTTTTGTTTTGTTTGTTTGTTTGTTTGGTTGGTTGGTTGGTTTTTAGAGAGAGATTTTTGCTATAGGGCATGTGTACTTGTTAGAGAGACAGAAAGCAAGAAACACCCCAGGGGAGATGGCCACACCACAATCCCCTCTCCTTCATTCTCCTCTCGGGATTTTGGGCACACACGCACACATGCCCGGTGAGTTAAGCCACTGGGTCCAGGACTCAAACCACAGTCAACTATGTGAGTCCAGCAATGTAACCGCTGTGCCATCTGCTGGTCCCCCCAGTGTGTGTTTTAAGCCTTAATGGCCGGGGTTCCAAACACAGTTGGCCACGTGGGACCCAGCTCCCTTAACTATTAGGCCACAGTGCTGGCCCTCGACTGAATTTCCTGGTGATGGGATTATCTGAAGCGCTTTTTCCTTGGACTTTACCTCTGATTTTCAGGTGAACAATTTTTATATAAAATCAAACATGAACAAGGACTAAACTTGGGGCCCAGCAGGTAGTGTGGTAGTTAAGGTGGCTGAATTACCACGTGGCTGACCAGAGTTCGAGCCCCAGACCCCGTGGCTTGAAAATCATGCCTGGCACGTGTGTGTGCATGCCCAAGATCCCAAGAGGAGAATGAAAGAGAAGGAAGGGACTGTGAAGTGGCCATCCTCCTTGGGGGTAGGGGTGATTTCTCACTTTGCTTCTCTTTCCCCTCTGGTGAACACAAAAGTCCCATGGCAAAAACCTAGGGGAGAAAAAAACCCTGACGGCCGTGGTAATGACAGAGTACTGTAAGAAGTGCCGATCCAGGGAACCAGCAGTTAGTGTAATGGCTATGTCGCTGGACACTGACGTAGTCGACTGCGGTTCGCGTCCCAGACCTGGTGGCTTAAAACTCATGCCGAGTGCGTGTGCGTGCGTGCCCAAGATCCTGAGAGGAGAATGGAGGAGAAGGGATTGCGGCGTGACCATTCCCTCTGGGGGGTGATTTCTCGCTTTCTGTCTCTCTGTCTGTCTCTGTCTGTCTGGCGAGCGCACGCGCCCTATAGCGAAAACCTCTCCAAAAAAAATATTAAAAAAAAAGGAAGTGCCGATCCACTCTCACCGCCTGCCTTCCGCATCTCTCTGGGAACCATGGCCAGGACTCTAAGTGACCCCCGGGGACCAGCACCCAGCGGGAAAGGCATGAAGCGGGGACGTCATCCCCACCGGGGACCTCGGGTGAGTGGGGGCAGAAGAGTCTGGTGCTGGCCCAAACCCTGTAAGGTGGGTGTAGGGGACAAGTGTGGCCCGGGGAGTAGGGGGTTGTGCTGTCACAAATGCCCTGAGAGGACCGTGTGGCGGCACAGTGCAAACACGACACTGCGAGCTGATGCACAGGATGGCTCTGGAGCGGAGGGTGGCTCACAGCATCGAGACCCTGCTAGGGTCTGTGTCTCTCCCTGCATGAAGGAAGGAGTAGATGGACGGACGGAGCTGTAAGTAAACTAGGGTGCCCAACAGCTCTGGAGGAGGAGAAAAGCTCCTCAGACCACCCTGGCCCTGGCTGCCCGCCTTTGGGCACTGGTGCTCAGATGGAAGGTGGGCTCTAGCCTGGACACCTCCCAGAGCCTCCGCCCAGGCACACTGGGATCCCACCAGCCAATCTCCACCTCCGGTGTAGGGAGACCTTACCCACTGTGTCATGGGCTCTGCCCACACGAACCCAGAGGGAGGCCTTGGTGTGAGCGGTGGCAGGGTCAGCCGGACAGAGCTCTCTCGGAGCCAGTCTGCAGGCACTCAGGCCCCTGAGCTCACAGGACAAGACTAACCAAGCCTTACCGCTTAAAACCACTCCTCTCATTCTGATCGTTTTCCAAAGAGCTAGGGACGAAGGGATGAACTATCCACTTCTTTTATCAAACTAGAAAATCTCAATTAAAAAAGAGACAGGTGGTCAGATGGTCCTCTCTTCTCCACCCCCACCCCAATCATTTATTTTTGGAGAGGTTTTTGCTATAGAGACAGAGACAGAGACAGAAAGTGAGAAATTACCCCCCTGGGGGGATGGCCACACTGCAACCCCTTTTCCTCTTTTCTCCTCTCGGGGATCTTGGGCACACACACACACACACACGTGTGCGGCATGAGTTTAGCCACAGAGTCTGGGACTCGAACTGCGGTCGACTACATAGGAGTCCAGCGACATAGCCATTGTGCCAACTGCTGGTCCTTTATTTACTTATTTATTTTTAAGTTATTTTATTATTATTTTCTTCCTTTGTTTATTTCAATTTGACCAGAGAGGAACAGAGTGAGAGAGAAAGTGAAAGCAAGCCACCAGGTCCAGGACTCAAACCATGGTTGGCCATGTGGGAATCTAGTACCTTTAACCACCACAAAGAATTATTTTTATTTAACTTTATTTTGTTTGTTTGTTTATTTATAATCTGATCAGAGAGGGACAGAATATGAGAGAGAGAAAGTGAGAAAACAAGCCACCAGGGCCTGAACTGGAACCATGGTTGGTTATGTGGGAGTCTAGCGCCCTTAACCACCACGCCACTTCTTGGCCCCTACTTTATTTATTTATTTATTTTTTTAAAGGTTTTTGCTATAGAGCACGTGCACTCACCAGAAAGACAGAGAAAGACAGAAAGACAGAAAGCGAGAAATCACCCGCCGGGGTATGGTCACGCCGCAATCCTTCTCCTCCATTCTCTTCCTGGGATCTTGGGCATGCACGCACACATACCCAGTGTGAGTTTAAGCCACCAGAAAGACAGAGAGAGACAGAAAGACAGAAAGCGAGAAATCACCCCCCCAGGGGGGATGGCCACATCTCAATCCTTTCTCCTCCATTCTCCTCTTGGGATCTTGGGCGCACACACACACGTGCGCCGCCTGGCATGAGTTTAAGCCACCAGGTCCACAACTTGAACCATGGTCAACGACATGGAAGTCCAGCGACATAGCCATTACGCCAATTGCTGGTACCAATTTTATTATTATTATTTTAACTAGGCCAGAGAGAGAGGGAAAATGAGAAAGCAAGCCACCAGGTCAGGACTTGAACCGCGATCAGCCACGTGGGAGCCCAGAGCCTTTAACTACCATGCCACCTGCTGGCCCCAGTCTGAGATGTCCTACTCGGCACTTAGCAGGTCCCTATCACTGGCTGGCCACCTCCTACTCAGGGGGTTCCCTCTCACCCATACCCTGTACTCCAAGCCCATCACCTCTGAGCCTAAAGAAATCTACAAGGGGGGCTGGAGGTGCCTGGACTTAAATATCCTAAGTATTAGTAAAATAAATACCCAGAGCTTATCTTTCCTCAGTTATCCAGATGATTACATTAGGCCATCAGGAAAGCCTTGACGGATTTTTCTACGTTTCTCTATGCAACAGAGAGTCCTGACTTTCCCAACAACCCAAAAGAAATAAACTAACAAGCCAGTATTTGTGGTTCGAGTTTCAGGGACGTAAAAAAAAAAAGCCATGACCTTATAACCAGCACCAAGAAGAAAGGATCTCTACTAAGCATGGAAGAAACGACTTTGTACGACGGCGGGCAGGGTCAGGCTCGGGGAGAGGGCCTGCGGCCCAGATGGGCAAAGTGGGAAAGGCAAGGAAGCGAGGCTGTGTGGACGGGCACAAGCGCGTGCATGTGGGAAGTCCTCGGAGGCAGAGGAGCGCGCGGCCGGTGAAGGCTGCGAGCCAGGGCAGCAGGAGGCTGCACACTGCCCGAGTGTGGCCACCTAGTGGACAGATGGTGCAGCCCCGGAGAGAAGGCAGGAGTGGAGACAGGGCAGGAACCCTTCCTGAACCACAGAGTAACCTACAGAAGACACGGGGTCCCCAGTAGACGGGGTCCCCAGTAGACGAAACAGAACAAGAGAAAGGTGGGAGACCAACAAGACACCTGCTGCAGGGAGGCGGCAGCAGCAGCAGGACAGAGTAAGTGGCACGCTGGTGACAGCATGAAGGCCAGCCCCGGAGACAAGCAAGGGCCCCGGCGTCAGGACTGCCGAGCAAGAGTTGTGACAGCAAGAGGAGTCCGTGTGCTTGGTGCAAAGCGCTTTCAGGAGAGCAGGAGAAACCGGATGGCAAACCAGAGCTGAGTACAGGACAAGCCTCGAGGGGACAGGATGGAGAGAAGAGTAGACAATCGAGAGCGCAGTAAGGCCGGGGAAAGCCGCTGCCAGGAGGACTCCTCCTAAGAAGTCTCTGAGACCAGGGAGCTGGGCCACGGGGGCGGACAGTGGAGGCACAAGGCCCAGAGGAGACACAGGGGGATGGGAACATGTGAGCAATTAGGAAAAGGAGTCTGAGACAGACAGGATTTAGAGGGTGCCAGCAATAAAGCCCAGAACACAGGTGTCCAGAGGGTTAGAGGCACAGATGCAAAACCAAGGGGAAAAGCAAAAGAAGATCTAGGGGGAGGCCTGCCCTCTCCCAGACAGGGCAGAGAAGGGGGCCTCACCCTGAGCAGTGAGGCCAGGCACAGGGAAGCCAGGGAAGCCAGGGAAGCGCAGGAGCAGACATGCAAACTCCTTGTTCCCATGTACGTAAGATCCGGAAGCTTGGGGCCCCCAGAATTTTACCAAACCAGCGCAAAGATGGAACTCTACTCTGGACCCCAAGGCTGTGCTCCCTACCTCATCGCCCTAGAGCGACAGCCCGTTTCTATGCACCTGCTGGCTGCCTGGATTAAGAGCCTACTCAGGGGCAGAGATAAGCCCAACAGCACACACATCACCTTAAAGAATAATCTGGTAAGAAGTGGAAGTGTTCAATACTCACAGGAACAATAAGCCCTTGCCAAGTCAATAAATTAGCTTCATCAACCTGGATGTTACGGAAGTTTTTCATTCCACATTTGCGGATTTCTTCAAGCTCCTGTTGATTGACAAAGCATAAAGGGGTGTCAAATAGGGGAAAGCACCACATGTTAAGATCCCTCCTGACTCCCTCAAATTAAAGCAATGACGACACCGCCAATGACAAAATTTGAGGGTGAGGACTCGACCGCGCCTGCTCTGGGTGTGGTTAAGGAGGCACGAGGAGGCGGAGGTCCCCTGTGAGGTCGCTGCCTCCACCCGTGCCCCAGACCAGACAAGCCCCCACCTCAGTGACCCCGATGCGCGTGACAGAGGACAGACGGAGCTGTGCTTCCGTGGATGCACCGCCTCCTCTTTGGGTTGGTCCCCACGCCTCCGTTTAAATATCCTCAGCACCCTGCGCAGGGCAGACGCACGGTGGGGGCTAAACTGAGGACTGCTGACCCGACTTCTTCCAGCGAATCTATTAAGCACTGACTGTGCCTCAGACACCGAGAACATAAAGACGAAGAAGACGGGACGAGGAACAAACCAGACGCAAACGCACACGCAGCGTTTTCTGCCCCGCTCTGTAAGTGCAATTTCGGAAGGTCGCTCAGCGCGGGCGGCGAAGAGAACCAGTCAGTGTGGGATGGGGAGGGGGCAGAAGACCTCCACTGAGCCTCAGTATCCTCAGCTGCAGACCCAGAGCTGCAGACAACCGAGGGGAGATGATGTTATAAGCAAGAAAACCCTTGCAAATGTGAAAGACTGCTCATACAAAAAGTCAGTGTGGCAAAGACCATTCCCACAGGTACAGCCAGCGCGATGACTTACACCTGGGCCCTGCAGGAGATGGCTTCGCAGTGTCTGTCACGTGCTTTCCAACTGCACACCAGCCTGACACCTCCCACTGCCTCCCTGACACTGGTAACTCCAGTCACCCGGCATGCACCCTCCTGCCCCTGCCCACATGTCCAAATTCCAACACCTAGAGTGCCACGCCCTGCCGCCACCGCGACTGGCCCTTGTCCAACGGCAAGACGGACTCCTCCACAGGTGCCTTCTTGGCAGCCTCCCCTGCGGCCCAGCCCACGCAGCCTCCAGGATGGGCCGGTCACTCCTCCCGCAGTGCTGTGGCTTACAATGACATGGCCCCACGTCTAGCCCAGAAGACTCCTGCACCCTAGGATGCCACCACACAGAGGCACCTGCAATGGACGGGAGCCACACAGGCACGGAGTTAGCCATCCCTGGTAAGGGGGCCTGGGCCAGTTACGGGGCCTGAGCTGAAGAACCTGCAGCCTCCGAGTGGGCCAAGAGGGGGCTTGAACACATGCACAGAAGGGACACACCTGCTTAAAGGCAAGTGACAGGCAGGGTTTCTTCCCACCCACAGCGTGCTCCTGCCCACCAGAAGTGTACACACACACACACACATGGCTTCAGAAATCCACACAGACATATGAAGTGTGGGTGATGGGGGCCACACCACGGTACTCCAGCTGCCCACCACAATCTGTCCAGCCTGAAATCCGGCCCAGCCACAGCGAGCGGAGTCTGAACACAGAGACAGCATCCGGCTGCCCAGTGAACGGGGGTCGGTGGCTGAGGGACTCGGCCCGAGCAGGGCCCGGCAGCACATGAGGAAGACGCTAGTGGCAGGGGCTGGGACTCCGGTGAGGGGGATGGGGCGGTCTGAGAGAAAGCGTGGAACCCGAGGGACCACGCCAACCAGTCACTGCCACCTGGTCCTCCCGCAACGCCCAGGACTCATCGGAAACACCCACTGGGGATGCTGAAGCCTGGGTAGACTCAGAAAGGGGAGGAGCCTTACCCCATACTACCACCCTCACCCTCTCCCCACGGAGCAAACGCTGGACGAGGGCAGGGCTGAGGGCAGGGTCAGGAAGTCCTAGTACAGCCAGGGCCTGGCTCAAATACCTGCTGAGCCAGCAGGTTCGTGAATGAATGGGAAGCAGGGACTTTCAGAGGCTACCCTTTGGCTTAAGATACTTGGTTAGGAACAGAAGATACCTTGTCCCTTAAGGCATGAGTCCTACCAAACAAAATGCTTTAAACCAAATACAAACAAGGAAAAAATTCCTGTTAGAACTTTAAAACCAGACGACCAAGACCGGTCCCATAGCACAGTGGTCAGATACTCTCCACGGGGAGCCAGATCCCATGTGGCCAGCCGCGTCTGAATGCTGGTCCTGGCGGTGTATGTGCATGCCCCGAATACTGAAGGCAAGGAGAAATGAAGACAAAAGGACTGCGGCATGACCGCGCCCCGTCGGGTACGTCATTGGGGGTGCTGTCTTTCTCTCTCGTTCTCTCTTTCTGGCAAGCACACACATTCTCTGGCAATAAAAAGAAAAAAAAGGGAGGGACCAGCAGTTGGCATAATGGCTATGTCGCTGGACTCCCATGTAGTCGACTGCGGTTCAAGTCCCGGACCCAGTGGCCTAACACTCACACTGGGCGTGTGTGTGTGTGTGTGCGTGCGTGCCCAAGATCCCGAGAGGAGAATGGAGGAGAAGGGAGTGTGGCGTGACCATCCCCCCTGGGGGGTGATTTCTCGCTTTCTATCTCTCTGTCTCTGTCTGTCTGGTGAGCGCACACGCCCTATAGTAAAAACCTCTCAAAAAAAAAAAAAAGAAGTTTATGGCTTGAGTCGGCCCCATGGCCCAGTGGTCAAGGAGCTAGATCCCACATGGCCAACCATGAAGATCGCAAAACATATTGGGTGCACAGGTGTGTGCGTCCACAATCCCAACAGGATGGACTAATGGAGAAGGGGTTGTAGTGTGGCCACATCCCCTTGGGAGGTGCTTTCTCCTTCCCTCACTCTCTCTGGCAATTACACACACACGCACACACACACACACACACTTTTATAGCTTCAGAAATCCACACAAACTTACAGTGTGGGTGATGGGGAGACCACACCGTGGTACAATGGTAATGCAACACTCTGCAAGGCTGACACACGTGGGAAGATTGTGGGTTCACGTATAGACCCCTCTGAACATGCCAGGCGAGCACGTGCCCCTGACCCAGCAGAAGCTGGGGGTAGATCAAGGCTGCTGGCTGTACCTGTCTCTGTCTCTGTCTCTGTCTCTTGATCATGAAAGAAAGAAACGAATACATTAAAAAAAAAAAAGTATGGGTGAGGGCTGGCCAAGGTGGTTAAGGTGGCTGAGTCCCACAGGGCCGGCTGCACGATTCGCGTCCCATAACCAGCGTTTTAAAGAACATGCCAGGCAACTCACGCTGGGCGCCTGTGCGTGCGTGCCCAAGATCCCAAGAGAATGGAGAAGGGATTGTGGCATGGCCATCCCCCCAGGGGGTGATTTCTCGCTTTCTGTCTGTCTGTCTCTGTCTTTCTGGCAAGCGCACACGCCCTATAGCAAAAACCTCTCCATAAAAAGAAAAACATGCCAGGCGTGTGTGCATGGTGCAATCCCAAAATACCACAAGGAGACAGGACTGGCGTGGCCATCCCCCCCACCAGGGTGATTTCTCACTTTCTCTCTTTTTGTCTCTGTCTGGCGAGCACACGCGCTCTATAGCAAAAACTAAAAAAGATGAGTGATAAAAACAAGAATGTAAATTTCACAAGAATTATAAAAATATGGCAAGATGGGGCTGAAACGAAACGCAGCAGTGGAAACTGCATCTTTCTCAAGAAGAGAGAGGAAGCAGCGAGCACTGGGGCAGGAGGGTGCAGGGAGGGCGCCTGCTGGTGCTGAGCGGGGATATACAGGAGCAGAGACAGAGACGCTGCAATAGGAGCCACATCTCCTGGCCAGAGAGGACAGGCCACACTAAAGCTGGCAGGGCCAGGTGCCCCCGGAGTCAGGGCAGGGTTATCAGACACACTTACCTTGCTGTCAGCTTAAGCTCTCCAAAGTCAGAAGGGAAGAGGCACCTCTTTTGCGTAACTCTAACCAAGTAGGAAGATCTGACCGGAAGGCGGAAGTGCAAGAAACTGACAAGCACGCGAGCCCTGTCATCCTCAGGGAATGCTGGGCTCCCCTAAGGAGAGGCTTTCTCAACAGGGTGTCGCCAGCATCGGGAAGGACTCTGCACTTGAGTGTACTAAGCCCTGCCCGTGAGACAGCTGCCAGGCCATGGTGACACAGCCGCACCCTGATTTCCCAACGTCCCCTACAACGTCCCCCGAGAACCCTGGCCCTCTCGGGAGCTGGATGCTGAATGCCCTGCATTGCACAAGCCGGCTGCAGATGAGGCTGCCAGCACAGCCGCGGTCCTGCCCCGACCAGGAAAGCAGCTTAAGGAGACCGGCTCCTGGCTCCTGCTCCGGGGCTGGATGGTGGCACGGGAGTAAAATCAGGGGTACTTTCCCCCTCTCCCTCTTTCTGGCAAGTGCATGCCACTGTGGCAAAATAAAAGAATCTTAAAAGATGGATTCAAATCATTTAGAGGACAAACAGGTTCCATCTAAAGATGAGAAATGTAAAAGGCAAGATGACTCCAACCCCCAAGATGGCAAACGCTCAAGCGACACTGTGCTCTGAAACAAAACAGTCCTGGTAATGAGTCGGGGAAGGGATTTAAAGAAACTAACGGAACTTCAAAGCCCAATTTCAAAAGATTTCACGTAGAAGGAAGGACAAAGAAAACTGTAAGGATGGCCCGGCTGAAGAGGAGACGGGAAGACCGAGGCCGAGAACAGGAGCTGAGAAAATGCACATCCGTGAAGGCCAGAGTAAGCGGGAGCCCCGGTCCTCTGGTCCCGGTCCACCTGTCCACTGCTCAGAGCTCATGGCGCAGTGCTGACAGCGAGGAGCGCTCCAGAGAAAGCAGGACCAGACAACTCGCATGCTCCTGCTGGAGGGGGTGGCCCTAGGGGACAAGGAGGACACTTGGCCAGGGCACACAGCATAGTGAAAAAAGGAGGGATGCTTCTTAAAATGAGGTCTCCGAGTTCAGAAGAGAACTCCGGCACACAGAAGGAACTTGAGAGAGTCCAGGGGTGCCGTCCAGCTCTTTGAATGGGAAAAAGCCCATTCCCCAAAGAGCTTGAGGGTCACCTGAGGGCAGAGCGAGGGGTGTGGCAGAAGGGACCTGCTCCACCTACCAGCTTTGCAAGTGTTAACAGGAGGGA